AGAAGTAAATAATTAAGTGGAGACAACAAAATAATAGGCGATTAGCTAACATGAAAGCAAAGTGTCTAATCAATTATTCTGATAAATTAATCACCATAATAGCAGTTTGTTTGACAGCTATAGAGGCCTGATTGATGTATCTGCACCCCACGCTATAATGGCATTATTGAAATGATAGTGAATATAGCAAAGGTGACTTGAAGAGCCTTTATGGATTGGCTCAGTGCGCTTCTTCCGATGATAATGAGATGGAAATATAAGTAGTATTATTGAATACTATCAATACAAGTTTTTAGTCTTAGGGTAGTAAAGATCTGACCTGCGGATCCATGCGCCATGATTGATACTTGACTCGGCGCTGATTATACGGGGCAACACAAAGCAGGCAGACTTCAAACTGGCGGAAAGTCTCTGCGTCTAGAGATTCGAGACCAGCATTAGCCAATTGAGAAGCTAGAAAGGCGGTTGTATCGAAGCCAACGCCCATCGCCGTGATCGGCCTCACGTCAAGGCAAAGTTGATGTCGCGAAAAACGTCGTTCAACCGGATCCCTTGGGTCATGAGGCAGCGCACTGCCTTCATGGAAGAAGTGACCAAATTGAGAAAAAGAGGGAAGGCCACTCCAGTTGCCAGTATTGCTAGTCGACCTTAACGTCAAAGGACTTTCGGAGAAAAACCACAACTGAGAACGATCATCGGGACGCTTAAGTAATCATAATAAAAGGCAAAAATGGAGGGGTAGATACAAATAAATGGAATGATCACATCATAGTCTATGAGCAGTAGGTATTTAATAATTATAAAAATAAAGTAGCATACCTTGGTGCTTAGTATGACTCGTTTTGACTCAGGACTGACATCAAGTACCACAGTATTGTCCATTAGCTCGAGAGTGGCTGTTGAACCTGATGTATGAGGTAGGTGGTACTGAGATTTTGAACTGGCTATGGAATACGTCGAAGCCTCAGGAACTATAGGTGTCGGGCATTCTACAGGTCCTAACATAGAGAGATATACGAAATTCTCGTATATCAGTGACTCTAATACGCCCAGCTGATTCAGGCTATATCGAGCCGTAAAGCTACCCTGCATCGAAGACATGAGTGCGAAAAAAGAGATTAACTTTTTAATATCAATGACAGATAATGGAGCAAAAAATAGAACAAAACAAAAGGGTAAATGGCAAACGTTGAGGACATTATATAGCCATAAGAATGCCTACGCTGCCACAATTAGCAAGAAACGTCTATTCAAAATGGCACACATTAGGAAAAAAGTAAAGTATTGTGAACAATGGCGTAACATCATTACAGGTGAAATTGGTTCATTAATAAGTGATGATCAACTTTGATTAGCTATGTCGCGCCATTTTTCATTTTCATGTTTATAAAAAAAA